ACCTTTTATATTATTAACTTATAATGAGAGCAGCATTATTATAGCATAGCTGTAACAAAGCCAATTTCCCCCCACAGTTGAATAAATGTTTACATTTAGTGAAAAACACATTTCTATTAGATTCAAAATAAAATACTACAAGAGAACAAAACTAAATCTTAAAAAACAGCACATAACCAAATATATGTTGCTGAAAAACAGTTACTAATTACATTTGTATGAGCTGATGGTTAGCCTACAAGCCTATTCATAAGTAAGGTACAATTCATTGTTTAAAAAAAAAGAGGAACAAACACGACTGCATATTAGAGTGAAAGAATAACATTAACTGATGCCATAACATCAAACGGGGGGTATACACACTACACAGGGACTGCTCTCAAACCCTCTCCATGTTTGTCAGTGTGCTGGAAGGCCTGGACCAGGCGCAGTCTCGTCCACAGAGCGGCCCACGGCAGGTCATTGATGGTGATCTGCCTCAGATGCCTTTGTCGTCGATCACAACAGACCCCTGTGAAGCGTAAGGGGAGGTTAAAAGTATAGCACAGCAGATATTCCTGTTCTTTGGTAACTTGTGACCCGAGCTGCCCAAACTTTAGCGGAAATGCATTTTTTGTGGGGGCTAAAAATAATGTTGCTGCTGTAACCTGTCGAATTCAGTACATTGTTTTAACAATCCGTGTTAGTTCTCCTGTCCGTTCCTCCAAACTGGGGGCTAGCAAACCGTCACCTACTGTACACCGACTATGGATATACATTTCCAATAATGCAAACCATCCCTTTAGAGTCCTTATATGAGCCATTATACAGCAGAATTAGTATTATAATAGTGGTGCAGTGATGACAAATCTTGGTAGGCAGACCCGAAAGTTAGCCTCACAAGGGCTCCCTCCCAAAAAGGTACTGGATTTTTTCAGAACATTTTTAAAGTGTAAATCTGTTGAAGTAAAAATCTAATGTTAGGCTATAATCAAACTACATCTCATTTTGCAAGGCTGCGCATTACCAATGCTAAGCTAAAGACGGCTAATGTTCAGCATGATGACGTTTGGTCGTCTTATCAAGTCGCTTGTGAGCACTGCTGTTTTTATGACAACATAGAAAGCTTGGACATTGACAGTGGGGTGATTATTAACATATTTTATGTCATATTGGGAAATGTTGAAAATCCCTTCAGCTTTTGTTAACCAAAGTCCTAAATTCAGGCATCTAACCCTATATAACGGGCCACGTCAACACGGCAGCGTGCGTTAAGCTTGCCGGCGGGGGTGGCTGAAACTCGACCAACAACAATCACATGAATCTCCCCCGCCCCGGACACCAACAAGCACGCAGTTTTGATTTGGCTAGAGCTTGTAACTGGCATATGATTCGATTGGCTGACGCTTCCGCCGAAGCTTCAAAAGTTGAAACATTGCTCAACTTTCGTTGCGAGCAACGCTTCTGAAGCTACGTCTTCGCTCCCACAATGCAGTTCGGCGAAGCGTGACGTCACCCCATTCAAAGTGAATGGACAGAAGCGTTGAAGAGTCAACGCACGCCGCCGTGTGGACGGGCCACAACACTTTAAAAAAAAAACAAAAACAATAGTTGACTTTGAGATAAGGGAACCAGAAGTGGTAACATGTCAACCTCATTCCAGGCTTAAGGACTCACTCCTGCACCACCTGGCCTTGTTGTTTAAACGATTTAAGCTCTTTCTCCGGACCTGTATGCAATGCCATCGTCCTGCTTCCAGCACACCATTAGTCATTTGGAGATGGTCTTGTTGAGGTCTGCCACGAGGGGATTTTCATGTTACCCAGACCTCCCTGCTTCCTTGGTGTGTTGATCCTGTAGGAGAAAATATAAAGAACCCAAATATGGGCCACAAACATTTCAAAAAATTGAACTCCAAATTTAGACCCAGGGCAGAGACCGTTAACTCGAAACTTATCAACACCGTGCAGAGAAGCCCAGTGACAGGAGATAAACTGGGGAGGGTGTTGCTACAGGACTGCCAAAAACAGCTATTACAGACTTATAAGATTTTGCAAATTAGGGACATCCTTTTCTTAGTCATGTAAAGTAATTTGACATTTTTTGTATTAAGTATATAACAGTCAACTGCAAACAGCAGCTCTGCTACTTATTTCACTGCATACAATCACGTGGATTACTGTTGAGCTTTAAAGCCACAATATACTTTCAGTTAGGACGAATTCTCACCAGGCCAAGTGACTGAAGTGAGAGTCTACGGAGCAGCCGATAACCTCGCAGCCGAGTTTGCGGAACTCCTCTGCCCTGTCGCTGAAGGCGATGATCTCAGTGGGACACACAAATGTGAAGTCCAGGGGGTAGAAGAAGAAGATCACATACTTCCCTGCAGAGCACGGGAGGAAAAGATGAGACGTGTTAACACTGATCATCTCATATTAAGATGACTTAAAAAAAAAAAGACAATTAACAATACTTTAAACTAGGGTCAAGAAAGAGTGGACTCGCATATTACTGTATAAATAATAATCAGATAAAGCGACACGGTCAAAGTTAGGAGTAGTAGAAAGTAACTAAGTTCACTTACTCAAGTACTTTAATTTTATTTTATACTTCATAACCTTTTGGAAGCAAATATTGTACTTTTTACTAACTACATAGGTTCCTTTAAAGTGTCATATTGTAATAAAAAATGTAGATCAACTAATGAATTATAATATTCTATAAAGGATAATGATAACAGGAAGTACGATTAGTTGTGCAAATACCCTGGTCATCTACTAGTGATGTGCTCAATGTCAAATAACAAGTTACCTTTGTAGTCGGACAGCTGGATGTCCTTGAACTGTCCATCCACTACAGCTGTGGCTTTGAAGGCCGGGGCAGGCTTGCCAATATGAGCATTTCCAGCCGACATGGTGGTGGAAGATGACTGCGGGAGAAATGGCACTTATTACCAGAACATTCCTGATGTTCATGGGCCGTTGTAGATCAAGTTAAGCTGGGTGGAACTCATGTGCAGGAGAACAAACATAACACTTAAACTAATGAGTCCCTGAGCTTTGACCAGGCAGACATGTTTTGCAGTTCCTTGATAATTGGTGCACAAGATCATACGCTGGTTCAGTAAGAAAACCACGGTAAGTCACATGCAAGTCATGCAACAGTTCAACCCGTGGGGAACAATAGCCCATTAGGAAGCTTACGTAACCATGACACGCACAAACCAATGGGAGAGTAGTTTTGGGATTCAAACGCTTTTAACAAGAGTTTTTTTTAAATAAACCTTGCAATTAAAGTGCAGGATTGACTGTATCTACACATTTCACACAGTACTGAGCCTGAACAGCCCCATGAGGTGTTTACTTTTTAAATGACTGTATGGTATCAGAAACAGGCCTAATTTGACTGTCCATGTCACAATACAACATCGGATAAAAAGCTAACTATCCTTTGTCGTCTTCAATGTGTTCAACGCAGTAGGTCAACGTTTTACAATTTAACGTCACTTGAGGTGTTAGCAACTAATGTGGAACAAAGCGATGAGGTTTTCACCAGTCTCTCCTGCAAGCTAGCCGCAGCACACGGACAAAGAAAGAGCCAGAAACAGGCCCAAATACTTAAGAAGGAGGGGAGCCGCATTGCACAGCTAGCTTAACGTTAGCTTCATGAAGTAAGCTGGTTACTTTGTTATCTCTTTGTTCAATGACAGACAGTTGCTGCTCTTGTGCAGCTTTGCAGACAAAATGTGAACCTCTGACAGGAAAGACCAAGAGACACACATAATATATCTGACTCACCTGTCCGTACGTAAAGCAGAAGAGAAGTCGGCTGAGCGGACGTCTGGTTCTGGCAGGACGAGAGCACTCAAAGGAGGGACGGCGCAGTGCAAGAAATAGGCGGGGCCAGCTGTGGACTCCGGAAGTTAAAATAACTTATTTCAAAGTAAAGGTCGAGATCAGAGTGTGTCACTTAGTGGGCAAGGGAGATAAATACATTTGATTAGACTGCAATTGGGTGCATTAACTTTAATTAATTAATTAAACTATATTAATATAAGAAATATATAACTTTGTGTATTGAACTGCATACACTTAAAAGCGGTAAAAGTAACGTAGCCTATACCAGAGAGCAAATAAGTTCTTAGATCCTTACTAACACTCAAATGTACTACCCCAATTGGCCATTCATATGCAACTAATATAATGGAGGTGTGTTGGTATGGATGTAAAACAGTGGTGTCAGCTGATAAATGTGTGTGTAATATACATTTAGTTTACAGAAAGTTGCACCTTTTCTCAACTCTCTTTCTCTTTCACTCTCTCTTTTTCTCTCCCTCTATCATTCACAAACTCATACACACACTCGTGCAAAATATACCTCATTAAACCTTGTATGTGTGTGAGTGATTGTGAGACAGGAGTAAGTAAGTGTGTTCTTCTTGTGCAATTTTGTTTTTCATTTGTGCTGTTTCATGTGTCTTTGAAGTAGACAGATATATGATCTTGAACCAGCTTGACCTTGATGTATTGTATTGAACTTCTTTGATAATGTCTCTTTAGCATATTAACATACACAGTCAGCCATACATGCACTCCTCTCGATCAAGTAAATAAAAACACCTAGCTGCAAAGCCAAAGCTATAAATGTGTATTTTTTTAACTTTGAAAAAATATAGCCTTATTAGTTGCCATAGAGTAATCATTTCAGTACAGTTCAATCTTTATTGTCTTCAAGCATGGCTTAGCTGTTAGCTCTGAGGTCAAAACAGGCTTGTGATATTGTCACTCTCCTTACATTTCAGTTCGATAATTAAACCCCCTGGCTTTCTTTTTAGATTGTCACAATTGGAGTAGGCTACATTTGGTAACCTGAAGCAACTTTTGAGCTTTTATTTTGAAAACACACAGCACCGGTAATGTGTGGAGAAGACCAATACTTCCGCTAAGCTTGTCAGTGTCTGGAAAAAAACTGATCTAACGTTACTGAGGCAGTCTGATCAAGCGTTTTGGTAAATTTACTTTTATCTATAATTGAAAAAAACTGTAGTTTGGTTTCCAGTCTAGCGTGTAGGATGTGTTGCTAATCGTTGTTCCGCTAAAGTGACATTTATTTTTGAGATAGCATGCAGCTAATGTTAGCATGTTTCCAGAGCAAAACAATGGATGTTACAGCACCGTCCTAAGTTAGCTCTAACTACATGATGCTTAAGACACAATGCTATAGTTGGTCTATTAAGTGTCGACCTGAGAGATGTTAAAACATGCAATACGAAATAGGGACTTTTTTCTAACAGGGAATAACGTTACAAGTCGCAATACACAGCTTTACACATATTTATAACACAAAGTTATCGCGAGGTTTTAACCGTGTCACGTTAGTAAACACAAAAACAGTAGATGTAGTTAGCATAATTGATAGGTTGCATTCTGTCTTAAAAAAACAGTATATATTTAACAGTCATTTAAACTGGGTTAACATATTAGATAATCTAATTTCACCTTTTTAACAATTGTAGCTTCATTTTGAGATGGTTGTCAACCTGTGACGTCATGATGTTGGTTGTCTACTGTTTTATCATCAGCTGTTACTCTTAAATCTAGTCCACATTTATAACAAGTGACAGCAGCACTGACAACCACTTACTAAATGGAAAAGAAGGAACCCAAAACTATAAAGCGATGCAAGGGGGGTCACTTTTGTATTGCCCCTGGATGCAACAATAATTTTTATAGAGTCAAAACCCAAGGAAAAATTGTCCACTTTCATGCTTTACCATTTAAGCGCGAAGAAGTTCTTCGTCGTTGGGTAGTTGCACTGAAGCGAGAGAGTACTCCAGTTCGTCCTGGAGCTAGGGTTTGTAGCGAGCACTTTGTAGATGAGGACTATGTGAAGGAGAAGGCCTTTCAGTTGGGTGTAAAGGTGGTTCGCCGGACCAATAAACTGAAGTCCGAGGCTGCTCCCTCTGTGTTTGGGGGTGCAGACCATCCAACCCAACCTGCTAGCAATGAAGTAGCTGCGAGCCGTCAGGAACAATCGCAACGATTCGCCCGCCTGGTTGAGCAGAGAGAGGTACTGCCAACAAGTTCAATAACCAGCTTTCTTGCCATGGCACGATAGGAACCTCTATTATCCATTATCACATTACATTACACCCGAATCTCAATTCACTTCACCCCCCCCCCCCTCTAGTAAAAAGTATTAAAGCTCTCATCTGTTAATGTTGTAACATTTCAATTTCAATAGCTATTCTTTTCAGCCTATCAATGTTCATCGCACATCTTCGCCATTAACTTAAAGGTCCAAAGTATAATTTCTGGCCACATGTTCCAAAGATATAGGGGGCAGCATTTTACCTCTACTGTTGGATCAATACAATTCAAATTAACCGTCATCACTTGAAAAAGCGAACTAGAAGCGAAGAATATGCAACATTTTTCCAAACTCCGAATCCAATCTTAACACTAACACTGCTTTTCGCGTATGGCATTGGCCATTAAGAAAGCATAGCCTGCTTTTTGTTTTGCTCAGTGTACTTTTTTTCATTGGATTGAATCTCAAGTTGTTGAGATTGTTCTCCATTTATGATTTTGTTTCGTCCTCCCTGTACCTTAAGGATTTCTGTTTGGTTTGCGTTGCCCGAAATCAAGCTAACTGCTAACTTTAGGTCCGTCTCCTAGAGCTGCCGCCTTCTCTCCTTTTGACGAATTGGCGTCCTGGTGGTAGGAAGGACCCCGTACCTTCAACGTGATTGACAGGCCCTCGGGGGAGATCTACTTCTCCGTCATTAATGTTGGAATAAGGACTGACTGGACGCAACTAGGGTTGCTTGATTTGGAAAAATAACTACATTTGACTGATAGCTATGGCGATATGATTCACAATATTGGATGGGTTTATCATTTGCTCATCAATATTCTCATGTCATTGAATAATATAAAACTATGACCATGGTGTAATTTTTGCATTGTTAAGTTGGAATACAGGGCAGGCCGGTGCTAGTTGCTTAGCCTTTCAGATATCTCTACGAAACAATGTCAACAATGTAACCTCTTTACATACTGTTGATCAACTTTTTTTTTCTTTTTTTCTTTAAACCTAAATTCTGGGCATATCTTACGCGTAACCTTAAACTTCTCTTTACGGGAGAAGCAATTTGCAATTAACAAACTTTCTGAGAGGCCCTTTAAAAATGTGCTTGCCTTGAATACAGCGCACTAGACCAGACTAAACTATTAAACAGTTTGCTATCAACAACACAAGCTAGCATATAGGTCTCTGCATTGCACTGCACATTATTCATATGGACTAAACTGTTACCTATTAAATCCCGGCAGAGTGCTTAATCAGCACAAAGACAAATCAAACATGACAATGCAAAGGGTTTTCACAATCGCTTTTTTATTGTATTATTCTGAAATGCAGATAATTTAAATTGAATGTATATGTAAATGAAAGTGTATAAAGTGCAGTTAGATAATCCCCTTTCATTTATGTTCACAGCATCCACAGAGAGTCAACGTTCACATCCTTGAAGAGAGACCCATAACATTATCAGCAGCCATGGATTCACCAGGTAGGAGACGTTGTTATAAATGAACTACCAATAACTACATCATTTGTCATGCTTCATTGTCACTGCAGGTGCTTGTACATATATTTCAGTGGTCATCATTATGATTAGACTTTGATTGTAATATCATTTACATTTTAATCTTGATCATTATTCTTTTTTTAAACAGAACTCATGTCCTAAAAACAAAATTAAACAATGCAAGTAAACATTGACAATTGTATTCAATTTCATAAAGGTTAATTAAAGGTTTTCAAGTCAAGGCAATATCTGGCTCATATATTACAACCCTATCCACAACCCTAATCCTAACAAACATCACACTTTTATTTTCTGGGTTACTGACTAAAGTGCTTCCATATAATTTGAAATGACAAACTCCCATCTGAACTTCCCCACAGTGACCCAGCTGTCAGTCATGTGTGAGGTCTGTGGAACTTACTTTGAGACTCGTAAAGGGCTCTCCAGCCACGCCCGCCTCCACCTACGGCAGCTCGGTGTGACGCTGTCTGAAAGCAGCGGCGCTCCCATCGAACTCCTCTACCAGCTCATGCAGGAGAGAGGAGGCTCTCTTCCGGATTTTAAAGCAGACTCCTCTGAAACCGGGGCGACCCCACCCCAAAAAACAACCAAGCAGGAGACCGGGACACCTTCCGCACCAGAGGACAGCAGTGACTCCTCCAAATCAGGGAGCAGAGTCATGACTAAAAAAATGGACCACAGAGCAGGGGAAGGCAGCAGCTCATCGTCAGGGCAACAAAACCCAACCAAGCCAATGTGGGCACCACTGCCAACGGACGCTCCCATCAGCTTAGGTACGGCTGAGTTCTGAATTTATTTAAATTTTAAATTTTCTTTAAGTGTTTTTATTATTGCTAAGAGATGTCATTTTTGACACATTTTCCTTTTCGTGTTTGCATGAGTGATCAAATGTGAATTTTCTGTATGCAGTTCACATAGCACCTTGGAGAAATATATTAACTGTATACATAACCATGCAAATAGTTTTTGTGTGTACTACGTTATTGGAGGGTATCGACCTTTCCCATTTCCTAATAAATCCAGTAATGACGCTTTTTGTTGTCCGATGGAAGTTAGCATTGCAAGGGCTCCCTCTGAGTGATTTCAGAATATTTCAAAAAATAAGACATTGACAAATGGGCTATTTTCTGACATATTTTATGTCGTAAAAGTAATCGTGAAAATCTCTTTAGCTTGTATTGACCACAGATCTTATTTCAGGCGTCTAACCAAAAACACTTTCAAAAAACATTGGCGAGGCAACCAGAAACGTTTGAAGTCCCATGAAACAGTTGGGACAGGTGAATTTACAATTAAGAGAATCGGTCAAAACGATTGAGAAAAACGTCAACATATTTGTCTCGAGACTGGGCTCCTTTGCCTTATCATTTTTATTGTTGTTGCAGCTTCAGTCACCAAAAATGAGGTCCACGTGTGCCAACTCTGTGGCTGCTGGTACGGGACACGCAAAAGCTTGTCGGGTCACGCTCGGACCCATCTGCGCCAGATTGGAATCCCTGAGAGCGACATCAAGGGAAGCCCAATTGATTCTGCTTTACCAGATTATGAAGGAGGAGGACTTCAAGCCCATCAGCAGCGAGGGGAAACCGGGGGAGCTCACCTCAAACAGCCCCTCCACATCCACCTCCTCCAAACGGCCCTCGATTCAATCACCTCCATCCAGCAAACGGCTAAAACCGTCGGAGAACTTTACCTGTATTCTGTGTGGGGAGGAGTTTGAGAATCGTAAAGGCCTGGGAATCCACGCACGCGCTCACCTGCGTCAGATGGGAGTGGTTGACCTGCAGGGGAAAAGCTCTGCGATTGACACCATCCAGGAGCTGGTCAGCAGCGGCATGCTAGAAGCCAAATTCCAAAGGAACAGTACAACCAGCTTGTCTGCAGCGTCCCTCCCCTCCACATCCCTCTCCCCAAGCCCTGCGAAGTACCCTCGCACTCCTATAGCCCCAAAGGCTAAGAAAGGCTTTCGGCTAGCGGTGGACCCCCTTCATAGGAAGCCCAAGCCGGAGCCCGTGGAGGTTGAAGTGTCTGTTGAAGCGCAGAGATCCAGCACTAACAGCGAGTCTTTCACGCAGAAGACACCTGCTGCGCCAAAGACTCTTATCGCAGGTAAGGCAGAGAGCCACTGATCTCAATTAAATGTTGGCAATTTAACATGTTTTTACATTCCCAAATTTAGTTTTTGATTCATACTCTCAGGTAGGGCTGCAATCAACAATAACTTTGATTTATCTGCTTATCTTTTACCTGATAAATGGTCTTTAAAATGTCCGAGAATTATGTCAAAGTCAACTTTATTGTCAATCTTTCAGTTTGTGTGTTTGAGAGATCGAAATACCGTATCCCACAATCTCGAATTCAAATTACAAATATATATACAAATATGTATATACCTATATACACACAATCAACAGACACATTTATACATAATGCACACAGTAAGACATAAATAGCAAAACATGTCCATCCCAGTACCTTAAAGTCCAAGGTGATGGGTTCAAATGTCTTGTTTCGTCTGTCCAAAAGCTAAATATACTCACTAATATATGACAAAAAACTGACAACATTAGAAAATATTCATATTCAAGAGGCTGAAAGCCTTATTTTTGCATTAGAAATGTCTTTAAACAGTTGATACATTATAAACATAACTGTTGATAACTTATCAATTTGTTCGTTTGTGCACGCAGTTTGGATTCATCCTCTTTTATTTAACGTCAGTCTCCTCCACAGGTGTAGAATCTCCGCCCACAGTCCTCTGTGATTACTGTGGCCAGCTGTTTGAAACCCGCAAAGCTCTGTCCTGCCACGCCCGCGCCCATCTGCGCCAGCTCGGATTCTCCTGGTCCATCAAATCTTCTCCCATCGATCTCCTCAAAGAGATCATGATGCGTGGTGAAGAAGGAAAGAAAGTGACTGCCGCCTCCTCGGGCAAACCCTCATGGACCCCCCAGGGCTCCAGACGGTCCCTGGACAGCCTCCAGTCAGGGGAAGCAGCCCACACCTCCTCCTCACCTGTGGATTACTCCATGAGAGAGAAATCCTCGACGGGCAGGAGCTGGACCTCACTCAACGGTTAGACCTTAACTCTCTTTCATAGCACTTGTTAGGATTAATATGTCACTGTAACAGCCATGTTGTTTTAATATGGTGAGCCTCACTGTTGTACTACATGCCTCTTAACTAAGATGAATAACGACACTGTGTGAATCCTAAACAAACTGTCCTAGGGCCATAAATATTCACGTGAATACGATTGAATACGATAACACTTTATTTATTAAAGAGGCCCTATCCTGCTTTTGGGGGATTTCCCCTTTCCTGTAGTGTGTTATATCGTTTTTTGTAAATGGTCTGCAAAGACTAAAATCCCAAAGTTTCTCTCCCACACATTCGCGCTTCTATTGGCTAGAGCTTTAACACATGCGTACGTTGACCAATCACAGTAGGGCCGGCCAGCTAAACAATCAGAGCGGACTGGGCGCTGGTTTCAGACAGAGGGTGAAAAGAGGTGCTGCAGCAGTATGAGAAAAATAATGTAAACATGTCACAGTAGAGGCACAAAATACAAAAGAAAAACATACTAGGCCCCATTTAAGACAAGATATAGGTAAACAGAGTTTGAACATTACATTACAATCACTGAGGACAATATGTCAAAGTCTTTTCAACAAACATTTGACCTGGGATTGACTCTGCTTTCATTTTAGGATTCGCTGGTGCACAAAAAAGTCTGTGTGCGCCGCCTATGAAGTAATTGTTGCACCAAATGTGTGTTGATCCGCAGCTGAAAATGGTCCTTAACAAATACAATAGTTACTCTTGTTTGTTAACACTGAGGTGGCCAGATTCACATCTGAATTTGGAACTGATGTGTTCGAGTGCAACAGCCATGATAGAGAATTTAGAGTATTGAGAGTCAGACCAAAATATGTTAGTTTTTTCTTTCCATATAAGTAAAGTATAACATCACACCAGCCTTATCCTTTAAAACTCAGCATTTTAGCCTTAAGATAAGCCTCTTTTCCATGTATTCTTTTCATGACACAATGCAATGCTGCCTTGATACACTCTCAGCATTGTTGGCATTGCTCTGCTGCCCCTTTAACCACTTACTGCACTGCACGCAGTAACATCCATGTACATTTCAAGGCAGGTTTGAACAAAAAGGTCTGGTTGGATGAGAGGAAATCACTGTAGATTTAGCAGGTTTAATACATAGGATTAAACCAAAAATGTAAGTAATAATACGCCATAAGACTATTTCTCAAACTCACTGGACTGGTGATACATTTCAAATCTGTCATCAGTAGTTTAGATACTAGTTTTTATTTCAGAGTATCTTTTCTTTGTTTTAGATGCATCCTGTGAGCTTTGTGGCTTTCGCTTTGAGAACCGAAAGGCCCTGGCCAGTCACTCGCGGGCCCACCTCCGACAGCTGGGGATCATGGAGTGGAAGACGGACGGAGCGAGCTCGCCCATCGATCTCCTCAGTGAGTTGATCCGGACGGAGCCGGCCAAGGTCGCAGCTCTAACCAGCCGCTATCGTTCGGGAGACTTTTTCATCAAGAAGGTAGGCTGTGCTCTAAAATATGAATTCATTCATTCCTTTTACAGGATACATTCGATACATTCATTTATTCAATCTGATGCTCTACACTAAAATGAGTGCGTTGTTGTTCTAAGAAACAGAGAGCTGTTTCTAAATGAACTAACACATTCATTTAAATACATGAAACAGATGATTATGATGTGAGGTGAAAGCCTTTAATATGCCTCAGAAAATATGTTTTTTAAAGAAGCTAAAGCTAGAGTTAGGAGTTACAGAAAATGTAAGCTAGTTAGCTAGTTATATTTTTCAAGTTTTATTAAATAATATCCGGCTCTGGCGTTTGAAGAGAGTATTTAGGAAAGCAGCCAATGTTTTTAGCAATTTGAATTTGCATTTACTTAATCTTCTTGTTACTCTTAGTCCCAGAAGGGTGCTGCTTCGCCCTCTCTGTCCACAGACTCTGACTCTGTGCCCGGCAGCAGCCTGAGGCCTTCAGGAGGCAGAGAGAACGCAGAATTATCCAGACACTCACACAGCCACACACGAACTCCTGCGGCCCATCGCCGCGACCCTGGCCAGCGCTTCCCAAGGGGTGAGAAATCAAAACAGCCGGATACAGAAATACTGTAATTGAATAAAGGAAACATCAACATTTGGCATGTTTCTCTAATACCTTCCTGTGTGGTTCCAGGGGTCCATCCACCAAGACGTGTTGTGCCTGCAGGAGGAGAAAATCGGGACACCAATTCCCAGCAGCCACCACGGTCAGGCAGCATCCCTGCTATGCTGCCAAAACCTCCACTAACACCACTGGTCAAACTGGTGGGGAAAGTCTACTCGCTCAAGTGCAGGTCAGTCGGAAAGAACAACATATAGATAATCACAGTCCTTATTATTTTGTATCTATCTTTTTTTGGTCAGCTTAAATTTGTTTAAATTTCCATATTCTGTACTAGAATAGAATCCCATTCTACCTTCCTTTGTTTTATTCAGTGAATAATAGGGGTTATAGAAATGGAAAATAGGGTTTATAAAATAAATCAAATCAAGCTGGAAACTAAACAGTTTATTAATATTTAAATTAGACTGGACCTACTGTGCATCATTTTCAGCAAATTGTATTGTTAAGTACTTAAGGACATATGTGTTTTTGAGCATGTATGGCAATATTAGGCAAAAAGGTGATGGGAAATGAGTTGAGATAGAAATCGGGGTGACATAGAGATTAAATGAGTAAGCCTGCTTGGAGTAGACAAACTCATGCCAAACAGGCCAATATTGCTCAAACCCACAGAGCTTTGTTCTAAATTCTTGTGGAGATCCCAAAATGTCCAAAGATACCAAATATCCCTATTTGTGTATTTTCCCGAAATATGAATTTTGGAGAAAGAATTATGTAATTATGCACAAGACATCTAGGATATTTCCATGAAAACAATAAATGGAGCTCAGTCTGTAGGGACTTGGCTCAGGAACCGTGGGGTTGCTGCTTCAATTCCCAGAACGGTCTAAGGCCCCGTTTACATGGACACGGTTCGGGTTGTATCTGCTACTTTTCTCTTTCGTATAGCCCGTTCGTTCACACGAGGCCGTAACGGAACCGCGGAAACGGACCCCTCAAACGATAACGGGTCCCAAGGTGGGTAGATCTGCAGACGGAACGCTCTGGGGGGCCAAACGGCTCCGTGTGTATGTCCTATACGATCATTTTCCTGATAACGATGAAGCCATAGCCCCGCCTCTCCCCACCTCTGCTGCTCACTGCTGTAGCATGGTCAGTAGCTACTGCTACTGCTACTGACCATGCTACAGATGTTAGTGCAAAATCTATAGCTCCTCTACCACAACCATCAGCAACAAGTGGACATGGAGAACTACATGTTGCTAAATCCACTGCGGAGAATAAACAGAAGGGCAACCAGGCAACCATGGCAACCATGCTCGGGGGTCTTCTTCGCTGCTTTTGGTGTATTTTGTGGCGGAAGTACAGCGCCACTTACAGGCCCGGCATATGTACTACAGCGTCTCCAGCAGGTCGAGCGGTCTCGTGTGAAGGGACATGTTTATTGAGCCGATTGCGTATGAATGGAAGACTTTTTTGATATCGAATTCGGTTCATTTTCGTTTGCGTTCCCGTGTGAATGGGGCCTAACTAAGTATAGAGAGTAGACCGGTACTTAGCGATGTCCCATTTGCTTCCTATGCACCAGCCCCCCCACTGCTCACCTGTTGCTGTATAATAGCCACCCACTGCTCATAATAATGGTATACATTAAATGCAGCGATTACATTTCACTATGTCTGTGGTGCTGTCTACGTTTACATGTGTGTAACGTTTAAGAGGAATTCATTCAAATCCTTAATTTCCATTCCAAGTTTGAATATTTCATTCACTTTAATAGTATGAAACTGTTAAAGTGGAATAAGATTATTTAAACAAACATTAAAGTAACTGAAGTGGAAACCCAATAAAAAAACAGTTTGGGCTTCTTTTTGCGATGATATTGACAAGGAATATACTGTTTTTATGTTGCTTGGCCTAAGCTGCACTTCATTAAATGCAATTAAGCTCATATCCCCCTCTCTGTGCTGCTGTTCAGGTTCTGTGAAGAAGTGTTTCATGGCCCTCTGTCGGTCCAGGAGCGCTGGATCACACACCTGCAGAAACACATCCTGTCCCTGGGCTACAAAGGCAAAGCGTCTCCACCTGCTGCACCTGTGGCAGCTCCAGCTCTCGTCCATCCAGTCGCTGTGTAGTCCCAAAGTCTTTATGAAATTCACATTAAACTAGGTGAACATTTTTAAACGTCACGGCAGAGTCAGGAAGTCTTTATGTCTACTTGAGGCAATACATTGTCAGTTAAAAAAGTGCAAAATAGATTTTCCTTTTTTTGTCCTAGAGAGGGCAGGCATGAGCCTTATGAGGATAGCAGCAGAACATAATCAACTCAGGTGAAATCCACTGGATCACATTATCGTATGTTTTTTAGACAAAATATCCAAGGCCGGTGAATCCCTACTGATGTGCGGTGCTTTCTTCCTCCTGCTGATAATGCATACCATTGGTAAAGATGTTGTTAATGTGTTTGAATGTGATTCAATACTTGTCATTTCCCACACTGAGAGAATAATCCTGATTTCACTGTGATAAATATTATCTCCTTAGTGTGCTTTTCAATTGAGTCTTGTTTTACACATTTATTTTTTTACAATAAAATCCGGAAGACTTATTTTTTCGCAAATTGATATTTTATGAACAACCAAACACTGAAAGGGAGGCCCAAAAATGTAACTTGTGAAAAGAAAATATAGAAGGTTATTAGAAATGTAATGTACTGAAAGCCTCAAATGTCTTGACCATAGAGACCCAGTGTTTCTATTATTTCCTTCAGATGTAAATGCAAATAATGAACTGCGTTTCTTGTCTTTTTACGTTTTTTTCTAACACTATGTTATTAAACTGTGCGTTTGTATTTAACGATAAAGTGTATGGGTTTTTCTTGTTTTTCACAAATGCAAGTCAAATACAAATCAATCAACAATGTACAGTGACAAACATCCTGTTCTCTACCAGCTGCCACAGTCATGCTCAATAACGCCAATCAGTGTAGTAGTCAAGTCACCAATTCACGAGTCCAAGTCACTCGTCCGAGTCCAAGTCCGAGTCACCAAGGGAGAGTCGTAGTGTCCGAGTCGAGTCCGAGTCGTCATTACCTGTGTTCGAGTCCGAGTCCAAGTCCGAGTCACCCAAGAAGAGTCCAAGTCACAAGTCTTCATGTATTAATCTTCGTGGATATATGTGTTGAAATGTAGCTGCTCCTCTACATTGCTTTTACAGGGTGTCCGCGGGGTCTTAAAAAGTATTAAAAGTTGATCAATCAATTTAGCGAAAATTAAGGCTATTAAAAAGTATTAAACGGCATTTTCCAAGGTATTACATTTTGTAGCTTGTTTTCAATAAGTATATCAATTGTCCAAAGAGGTTGTATTCTGCAGTTTGCCTGAATGTAATCATTGCGTAGGTGTGTAGTGTGATTCTGTGTAGTTTATTTATGGCATCCCGTTGGATTTGACGTCATCTGAACAGGACATCGCACGCTCACTGCTTGATAGCGTGCGAAGCTCCGTTTACGCCGGTTGTTAAACAACATCGTTATGGGGAAATGCAAGTTTGCCTCCAAATGTTTGGAAGATAAGGAGGAAGGACAATCAATACTGTATAAATGTGAGGTAAAGTGTGTCGCCAATGTAACCGGTTAGAACTCGAAGTGGTGATGAGGTCTTAAAATGTATGGAAAGGGTCTTAAAAAAGGTCTTAAAAGGTATTAAATTTGACTTCAGGATTCCTGCATATACCCTGTTTTATCCTGTCATGTTATACTAATGTGTCTATTGAACTGCTGTGAAGCGAGTTTGGCTACAATTCTTGTAATAGGTGCTATACAAATATAAAGCTTAATTACTAATATTAATATTATTATTATTATTGTAAATGACCTTTAATATGTCTAACTATATTTAAAATGAGTTACCTTTTAGAGAAGCGATTATATTTGTATGCCAATATTTTTCTATGGTAAAGTTTTAGTTTTGCACTTTTATTTTGATAGTAATAAGATCGGGACTCTTATCTTGAAGGAACTTTTACCGGAAGTCAATGGACAACGGAGCAGTGTAAACACACATGGATAATGACGGATAAATTAACATATACTAAATAGTTGCATTCGGTTTAGAGCACCTGGCTGATAAGGGCACAAGCTCTTTCGTTGGTAATGATTGCATAAAAGCAAGGGTGTGCAATAAACAGATACCATCAGTTAGAGAGTCTGACCATCATTCAGCCGGGGACGCTACAATTATTATAATGAATGTTTAAATTCTATCAATAAAGATTAAGCCCCAGAAAGCACATGGCTACTTAGCATGCAAAATCAAGTCATTCTCCATGTTAAGTAGCCATGTGCTTTCGTGTTATCGGCTGAATCTTTATTTATTGATTAGATCACGTTACTCTGATGATAGTGTTCAAGACAGCCATATGTCTGAACTCGATCCTTAGAGTAATGTGTTACGGAGCCTTCTCTTCAATATTTTTTCCACATAACGAGCATTTTGCGCTGCTCTTTCCCAATGTGGAAGCAGAATGTGTGAAAGCATACAGCCCAATGCGGGGTGTGTCTCTAGACATCTTTAGACTGGAATAGCAGGGCCCAGTACGTGAACTCGCCTCGCAGGTGCACACGCAAGGATAGAGGACATCAGACTCCAGAGAAAACTTGCTCGAGTCCAAGTCGGAGCGTCAATGTACAAGTCGAGTCCGAGTCATCGTGGGGGGAAAAATTCACGAGTCCGAGTCCAAGTCATCGTACGTGAGAATTCACGAGTCCGAGTCCAAGTCATCGTGCGCGAGAATTCACGAGTCGAGTCCGAGTCGAGTCACGAGTCACGAAAATCGGCACTCGAGTACTCCATCTCTGACGCCAATACAGTCTGTTCACATGAGCCACCAGAGGTACACAGCTTATAGTCTCAAGGACCATGCCACAACAACATGTTGGTTAAAGGTTTATTTACAGGAGATATTGAGTGTAAGGAGATAGGGGATGTCGTCTGTCCAGGCAGAGGGAGACTCAGGGTGGGGGGGGGGGGGGGGCGTTACATCTCAGGCGGGTTTCTGCCCCATCTGAATACAAGCCTCCAGACGGAGAATGAGACACAAGTTTTCACCAGATAAAAGAGAGATAAGGGGAGACCGGAAGAATAGATTAATGGTTATAAGGATGTATAGGAAGGGAGACATGAAGGGATGTAGGGATGGATGGGTGTAGGAAGGGATGAATGGGTGTTGGTAGGGATGAAGGTTGAAGGGATTTAGGTATGGACTAATGGATGAAGGGATGTAGGGATGAATGGACCAAGAGATGCTGGGAGGGTTGAAGGGATGTAGGGAGGGATGAATGGATCAAGGGATGTATGGAGGGTTGAAGGGATGTAGGGAGGGATCAGGTTCAGGTTCTTTATTTGTACCCGTAGGTAGATTTTGTTTGCAGAGAAAAAGACAAGGGATCCATCCTGACACACTCTAAAAACATACACAAACAACAGACACATCTCTATTAAAAGGACTAGTAAAAAGTACAAGTAGCCTACACCCTGCTCCGTCAAATATATTTCAAAAATATTTAAGAAGAAAAGCACTAGTACAAACATGGACATTCAAAATTCATAATTAAATAAATCAATAAATAGGCATCTGTGTGACACTTCTATGATGTGTTAATTTGTGCAATAGCTGCTGGGATAAAACTGTTTTTATACCGCTTCGTTCTACTCTTTGGGACAAGTAACCTCCGGCCCGAAGGAAAAAGCTTAAATTCTGAGTGCAGAGGGTGGGAGTCATCGTCTAATATGGAGCTGGATAACCGCTGTAACTGCCTGAGGTACAGGGTCTCCAGGTTTAGCTGTGGCTCACCAATCAGTCTGCTGGACCACTTTACGATCTGACTCAGAGAGGTTCTGCTCTTTAAAGTCAGGTTACCAAACCATGACATTAACGAAAAAGACAGAATTGACTCGATAAAAGCATGATAAAACATGATCCTCATGGTTTTGTCAATGTTAAAATAGGACAGTTTCCTAAGACAGTACAAACGTTCGTGCCCCCTTTTGCACACAGCTTCACAGTTTGGATCAGAGCTCAATTTTGAGTCAATAATTGTCCCGAGATATTTGTATGATTGCACAAATTCTACTTTCTGATTCTGGATTGTTAAGACTAAATGTATGTGGGGATGTCTTCTAAAATCAATTATCATGTCCTTGGTTTTGCTTATGTTCAGTTGTAGATAGTATTCCTCACACCACCTGACAAAGTCGTCAATGACAGGGCCGTGGCTGGTCTCATTGTCCTGGAGCCTACTAACAATTACAGAGTCATCTGCATAATTTAAAGGTCCCATGTCATGGCCATTTCTACTGATCATAATTCCATTGTTGAGGTATACTAAAATAGATTTATACTGTGCAATTTTCCAAACTCACATTGGTTTCTCCTACAGCATCTCTGTAAAGTATGTGTATTCACCGGTATTCACTCTCTGTCCTAAACGGCTTGTTGGAGCTCCTGCCCCCCCTCCCCCCCCCCCTCCCTGTGAGCCCAGTGTGCTCTGATTGGTCGGGGCGTTGAGGCTCGTTGCTGCGATCTGATGCGAGGAGCGGAAGCCTGTCGGAAGCAGATCGCAGCAACGAGCCTCTCGGCGATACAGCGAGAACAAGCTAAATTCATCCTGAGCACACACAAACACTCACAGCCGAAGTAAAAACAATAAGTGTGGCTTGATATTGAGTAAGAAAAAGGTTTATAACGCTGTGAGAATGGGTCTGAGAGCATTTATCCGCGATCCCAACTTAGTAGCCCGAAAAACGTTTACCCATTTAAACAGTCGTGGTAGATACCTTGTTTGTTTTAAACATCATAAATAAACAAACAACAATGAATAGTTACAGGTTGTGTACCGGAATCTCCCGCTGGTCCAAACAAAGTAGGAACAGCATCGTTCTTCAGTGCCCTACGCTGTACGATACGATACGATACGATACGGCATGAATCGCTGAAAGATTTGGGAAGCTTTGTTTCGTGAAAGGCTGGCAGAGGGTGTGGCCTCTGGGTATCCCCACGTCAGAGTACCCAGGAAGAAAATGAGAAATCTCCAACGAGGCGTTTTGGGGAGGTCTTTTCTGTGTTAGAGTTTTACTCCCTACAGGGTGTACTTTGAGGGTTTTTGACTCTGCAGACCGTTTACATGCATAAAAACCTTCATAACACACAAGGGGACGGGTAATAACCGGAAAAGCATGACATGGGACCTTTAAAATAGTCCTATTTTGACACATATTAGTGTAAAGTATAAATAATAGTGGCGAAAGGACACATCCTTGTGGGGAGCCAGTGGAGGAGCTGACTTGATCAGATAAGGTCCCATTCACCCTCACTCTTTGTGTCCTATTGGTTAAAAAGTCAATAATCCAGCCCATAAGATTATTGCTTATTTAAAATGGTTCTAAAAGTCTGCCAATTAAAATATGAGGTTGAATTGTGTTAAAAGCAGAGGAAAAATCAACAAATAAAAGTCTAGCATGAGATCCATTTCCCTCCAAGTGTTTAAAAAGTAAGTTAAGTAAGGTGACCGTGGCATCCTCTACTCCTCTGTGTGGCCTGTAAGCAAACTGCATGGGATCGAGTGCATGCTCAGTCTTCCGTAAGATTTCTGCTCTGACTAGTTTTTCCAATGTCTTCATTAGAATTGATGTAAGTGCAACTGGTCTAAAATCATTCAGAGTTTTGGGGCCTCTGGATTTGGGAACAGGGACTACCACAGCATCCTTCCAAACCTTTGGTACATGCTGTGTCTGTAAAGACATATTAAGGGAATGTAGGGAGGGATGAATGGATGAAGGGATGTAGGGATGAATGGACCAAGAG